CACAAACAGGAGCTCAGCCACAAGTTCTGCAACTGGCATTTTTGGCATATTAAGCTTCTAATGGTGGTGTCCCAATGCCTGCTGTAACCCCCTGTGTGGTTTTCGAGGCCCTGGAATCCAGCACGTAGCCCTATGGCTCTCTCTCTCTGTGGCTCCCTGCATCCTTGGCAGGGTCCATTCCCTTTTGGGCACTTTGCACAATGGCAGCAGGATCCTGGGAGCTGGGATGCTCTCTGCATTCCCTCACATGACACTGAAATTAAGCCAGTGCTCTTAGGTTGAATGATATCTGCCCAACAGTAGAAGTGTAGTCCTGGCCTGACGTCATCAGGGAAAGAGAGCAAAATGGGATGGGGGTGTTAACAGAACTGCCATTGACATTCACTGCAGGGGGGGATTAATTAAGAGCACTGCCACTGAACACCAATGCAAGGAAGGATTAACAACACTGTCACTGCCCATCAAGGCAGTGAGGGATTACCAGCATTACCACTGACCACTAATGCAGGGTAGTGGGATGTAACAGCACTGCCACTGACTAGCAATGCAGGGGAGGGTGTAAGGTTGTTACCAGCACTGCCACTGACCATCAATGTAGGGAGGGCTTACCAGCAAACTTAAAGTGAAAGTAAAAAAACAGGATCATAAACACTATTAAGAAAAAATAATACCTTGATAGGGCGATATAAAAAGGAGGTAAAGGACAACTGTGCCTGTGGTAATTACTCTCCTGCTACCCTTGTGCAGCCCCAATCCGGTGATATTTACTGTGTGGCTTGGCTCAGAGCTGCACAGCCTTTCATTCAAAAAATGCAATGCTTCTGACCCATTCTTACTTATGAGAGAGCTGTACTCATGGCAGTCCCAACATTCCTTGGGGCTGTCCCCTAATCTTGGCAACATGTCTAACATGGCACTCAGCTGGCTGTGACCAGACTGCAGTGAATATCCAGATTTAGGGGGGTCTGGTATGACACAGGCAGAGCAAAGCAGTTGTGCAGTTTGTAACAGAATCTGGGTATGCAGTATACATTGTGTGGCGGTGAGTGCAAGATTGCACAGTATGCATCTCTGCAGTGGGAGGGGGCAATGTCCACGACTGGGGTTATGAGTGCTGGTGAGAGGGCTCATACGCACCTAAGAAGTTAGAGGGAATGCTAGTTTTGCCATCCCTCCCACCTCCAGGGTAAGTAGCTCTGTTGACATTACCTCTAGGGTAGAAATACAAAGCAATAAAGGCATCCAAAATAATTAAAATGAATGTGCCTGGCATTAGACTACCCTGTCTGTGTGTGCAAGCAGTGGTGTTGCTACAGTGGACCACTTGCCCCTCCTGTACAGTCTATGATTCAGCCTGACCTTGGTGGGCAGAGTACCTCTGGCCTTGACTGGTCTGTGACAAATTGGCAGTGCATATGTGGTAAGAAGCTTACAGCATTTTCTACAACAAAATGACACCACTACCATGCCAGCAGATGCAACCTTTATCAGAGGCTGGAACCTAGGGAGAAACACAAGCTCCATTTTACTTCCTATATTTCTTGTTTACAATAACTATAGGATAAAAGACAGTAGATATGTCCTCTCGGTTGGCCTGCTTTATTATTATTTAGTACCCTGAATTTCAGTTTCACAAACACCTGTTATATTTTGTATTTTCCAGGAGAAATAGTGTGCTTGATTTACTAATGGAATAGAGCATGTTCACTTTGTGAATTTTGTGTTCACTTTGCTTAGTAAATGAGGCAAGGTGGTGTTCACGTCAATTGTAAAATCATGTGTAATCAATAGTTTTGTTTTTTAATTTCCCTATCACGTGATTAGGTATTCAAAGTGAACACAGCTTTACTCTACTTACTAAGCTAAGTGAACAGGTTCTTCTCCCTCAGTAAATCAAGCCCATTGCCATTTTGAAAGACAAATAAAGAATACGTTGTTACGCAATGAAACAATGGTTCTATCAAGCACTGGGTTCTCTCTTTTACTGAAGCCTTTACAGACACATGCCCAGCAGCAAGTTTTTAGATGCCCGCCTACAGAAACATAGTTCAATACCTTAACCACTAGAAGACCGGGGTTTTTACACCCACTTCCTTGCCAGGCCATTTTTCAGCATTCAGCTCTGCAGTACATTGACATTTATTCCGTCATGTAACGCTGTACTGAAATTAATTTTACAAATTTTTGGGGGGACAGATAGAGCTTTCTTTTGGTGGTATTTAATCATCACTGCGGAGTTCATATTGTTTACTCTATTAAGGAAAAATTACTGAAAATTTTGAAAAAAACCACTGTTTTTTTATACATTATGTTAGGAAACATTTATTATTTTTGTTGTAAAATATAAAAGATGGGGTCACATCAGTTAAATAGACACCAAACATCTCAAGCCTTAAAATTGCGCGCACCCGCGAAATCGCAAAGAATCATCGCCATACCCAAAATTGGCCAAAGATGATGCTTTAAAAGCTTTTATTGTTCATCGGTTTAGTGTTATCAGTGACTGATGGCCCTAGAATTTTTGCTCACACTCTGACGTACGTGGTGATATGTAACATGTGCGGTGTAATGTGGGTACACCCAACACATGTTTGTGTGTGTATGTGGGGCGGAGGACAATTTTGTTGTTGGGTTTTGTTTTTTTTTACTTTTTCACTTAAAAGAGAACTATGGGGTAAGTGTTTTTCCCCATAGTTCTCTTAAGGGTCACAGGAGGACATATACTAGCGTCAACCCGTCACCCAAAGCTCAGTATATCGCAAGCTACAGCTCGAGGTATAATGAGACCGCCGCAGCCGGGACGGATCCCGACATGACTGTCGAGATCCACCCAGCTGCGTGAGTGACAGCTGACTCTGCCTATCTAGAGACCAAGCCAGCGGTACCCGCCCCCTCCCTCGTCCGTTCCTCCAGTCAGCGCAGGAGGATCGGAGTGGGGAAGGGGAATCCCTGCAGGGAGCCGTGACTGACAGTCACGGCTCTCTGCAGGAACATGATCGAAAAGTGAGCGAGCAACGCTATGTGTTTGCTCATTTCCCGATCTATTGAGAAAACGTGTGACAGTTTCATTGTCACAAGTCGGCTCGAAATATGAAGGGGAAGTGATTTTCACTCACCTCATAGTTCTCCTTTAACCACTTCAAGACCAGGTGTTTAGACCCCCTTCCTGGCAGGGCCATTTTTCAGTATTCAGCTCTGACTTTATTGTTATCCTATAGGGGGCTAAGAAGCCCCCTAGGTGATAGAAAGAGGATGTGACAGGACCTCTTTAAGATCCCTAATGTCTACTAAGGACTCACAAAGACGCTGATGAAGCAGAGATCACTAGCTTTTCCCGCTGGTGTGCGCCCCCTCGGTGTGCACGAGTGGGCGGGGCTAAAAGAAAATGTTTAAACGCCTGCTCACATTCAAGAAGCTCTTAAAGAGGAACTCCAGAAAATCTAAATATTAATCCTTGCAGTGGGGCTACCCCCATACTGCAAGAGTTAACTGCTCATTTCAGTCTCACCTGATCCTTAGTCCTGTTGCAGTGGCCACTCACCTCTCTCCCCCTTCACTCTGGCAGTGAAATATCCCTCAGTCTCCTCATATCCAATGCTGCTGCAGTAGATGTGATGATGTCACAGGTCCTTAGACCGCTGCAACCTGGGGGAGAAGAGGCTGCAGGGACTGGTCTAGCAGCCAAGTGGGACTGAGGATCAGGGTATATTTTCTTTATTTTAACCCCCAGGCCAAAATGAGCAGTTAACTCTTGCAGTGCAGAGGAAGCCTCACTGCAAGGGTTCATTTTTACATTTCCTGGAGTTCTTTACATTCTTGACATTAGACCTGTAGTTTTTTTCCCATAGGCTTTGCTTCACCTTCACTGCAAACAGTAACATACCAGTCAAGAAAATACAGGATATCACAATTGTCACACCTGTTGCTTTTCCTTTTTTTTTTTTTAACTATGCTGCAATAACAAAGATGCTGTGTTAATACTCCTTATCCACAAGATGGCACCACTTATCACATTGAAAAAAACATTGATGACAGATAGATTACTGATTTCAAATAATAGGGAATGGTGCTATCAAAGTATCAGCATAGGCTTTACAGTGCTGGATCTACCGGTAGCTGTATGCTCATAAAAAGTGCACATCATGAACTGATCCCAAACATTATACTGTACTAGGCTACATTTTAGAATATCTGTGGGAGAATATTATGGGCTACTAATATTAGGTTAGGTAATATTAGGTTAGACTTCAGGCTGGTCTTATTTATAGGTCTGGCTTTTAAAGTAATCAGTAATCTTATACAAAGACAGCAGCTTGCTTTTTTGGAAATATATTAAAAGAACACGTTTGGCTTTGAGGAAGTTGCAAAAGCGGTATTGTGGCAGAAGAAAGGAGGTGTTGTGGTAGGAGTAGAAATGATAAAGCTGGTAGGAGTAGAAATGATGAAGCTGAGAAAAAGTAAACAGGCAAGAAAGGCTTTGAAAAAAAAAAGGTGATGACATTGCCAGAGAAGATCTCTGGTTCTAAAAGCACAATGCAATGGTATGTGCTACGCGTACTACTCAGGGGCAAGGAGAAACCTGCTTGGCAAATTAACCACTTCATGACTGAGGCCTTTTTTAAATTTTTTGTACCCATGTTATATTCCCCATTTTAGGCCTGAAAATTACTTAAAACCCCCCAACATTATATATTTTCTGAATGCCAAGACCCTATAGAATAAAATGGTGGTAGTTGCAAATGTTTATGTTGCGCAATATTAGCGCAACTCCTTATTAAACCCCAATATTTAGTGAAAAATTTAATTAAATGCCCCAAAACACAACAAAATACCCATTTTTTTAATGAAATATAAAAGATGAGGTTACAACGAGTAAAACGATACCCAACATGCCCAGGTTACAATCCCGTGAGCACGCGCGTCCCCACGTAAACACGCGTCGGGTGCGCCTACCTATGAAAACGACGAACGCGCTACACATGTTGGGTATCGCCGCGCACGCCGGAGTGAGAGCAATAATTCTAGGGCCAGTATTTTGGGGTATCTCTAAATTGATGACCTGTGGGGGCTTTTAAAGCGTCTTCTATGGACTTTTTGGGGTACTGCAGTTTGTTGCCGTTTCACGGACGCACACAATTTGTTACCTGGGCATGTTGGGTATCGTTTTACTCGTTGTAACCTCATCTTTTATATTTCATTAAAAAAATGGGTATTTTGTTGTGTTTTGGGGCATTTAATTAAATTTTTCACTAAATGTTGGGGTTTAATAAGGAGTTGCGCTAATATTGCGCAACATAGAAATTTGCAACTACCACCATTTTATTCTATAGGGTCTTGGCATTCAGAAAATATATAATGTTTGGGGGTTTTAAGTCATTTTCCGGCCTAAATGTGGAATATAACATGGGTGCAATTTTTTTTTTTTAAAAGGCCTCAGTCATGAAGGGGTTAAAGTAAGCAAAAAACAGCCCAGCTCCAGCTAACAAGTTTTTTTTAACTTCTTTATTTATCCAGAAAATGTCATACATTTGCAAAATACAGCTGTAATTCATCCCAATACTGTGCTTTTGACAGAACATCAGATTTAGAATAAGTGGAAGGAAGCAGAGAAGAAAGGAGAGAAAGGTACAAATGAGCTTTGTAATATTACATGTCACTGTATACAAAAATATACATGGGTATGAAAATGTATATTCATGGTCACAAAATACAGCATGTTAAACCATGCCCAGAAGAAAGCGGTGAGTTAAACATACAAAATGGGCAATTATTTTCTATAATACTGATCATAAAGACAACAATAAAAAATGTAAGTAAAAATCAATATGTTGAATAAAGTTCTCCCAATTATTCCAGTTTTTGTTGATGTTTTTTTGTGATTTCAACTATATTCTCTCCAAAGCCTAAATATTGGTAATCTCTTTTGCATCTATTCTTTATTAGATGGACGATCTGTGACTTTCTGTAATTTAATATCATTTTTGCAGTATTAAGTATAATATATATAATATCATGTTTGTAAAAATTTGTAAGTTGTGCAGCCAGCAAACAAGTATTTTCCTGCTGGGTTGCGCCAGCCTGTGTCAGGGCTTGTCGCTGCTGAGCCAGTGCCTCCTAATGGCGGGGCTGCACCTGCCCATTAGCTAAGGCCAGCTGCTTAATCAGCTCCTCCATGGTTGTGGACTTTAGCGCAGCCTTAGCCCAGGACATGCAAATGGTACGCCGCCTTTAAATGTCAGTTTTTCACAGAAAAGACCACTTGCGAAAGATAGCATCCTGCCCGCATTCTCCACCACTTGTGAAGTTGGGGAGCTCACAGAGCACTCGCACAGAGGGTTTTGCTTTTATTTTCCTCTGCAGGGCAGCCAAAAACAGTAAACACAAATATACACTTATCTTCAAGTAAAAGTCTGTATCTTCAGCACAAATAACAAAACATAAATGTGTCTCACCGACTTGTTGTACAACAATTCCCAAACCTGGGGAAATCCCTTCCCAGGAATATTAGTTCTGAAGCACAGCAGCACAGCAATCTAGCAGGACTCTAACTAGCCACACTGTTTCCTCAACTCACACACTCCACTCTGGTGTTGCTTTTAAACTGCTTCCGGTGGCAGGAAGATTAACCCTCTGGTGGCCCTTAAGGGGACCAAAACCCAAAGAGTGGGAAATAGATCGGCCTTCAACCCCCAAGCCTTGTCGTCCTCTACAATTTACTGTGTATCCATAGACTAAGTAACGAGTTCAGACTGCGGTCAATAATGAAGAGAAGAAAAGGTTAATAACAAACTGCTTGGGGAGTATTTTGTGAATAGTTTAGGAGCGATCACCACTATAATGAATATTATCCTATTTGATCACTAGATGGCAATATTCCATTAGAAGTAACAAAAGTTGGTGTAAAAATTCACCTTCACCTTCATTTTGCTAATTCCCTCATTTTATTTTTCATAGTATTTGAGGTTGAATAAAGACATTAGTCCATCAAGTCCAACCTATTAGGATCTCATTCTAGGAGTACCCGTACCCCTGTATATTACGGTCCCTTAAGAAATCGTCCAAAAGTTTCTTGAACAATTCCACATTATTTGCTGAAATCACCGCCTGTGGCAGTGAGTTCCAGACCCTAACTGATCTTACTGTGAAGAACCCCCTTCGCCCCTTGTGCTGGAATTTTTTTTCCACCAATTTTAGGTGATGGCCTCTAGTTTTTGTAACGGAGTTAATTTTAAACAGTTTATCGCTAATGTTGCTACCACCATTAAACATTTTGTACATGGAAATCATATCCCCCCTTAATCTCCTCACCTCTAATGTGAACATGTTTAAATTTAGTAGCCTCGTCTCGTAGCTCTGGTCCTCCATACCCCTAATTAGTTTGGTTGCCCTTCGCTGGACTTTTTCCAACTCAAGGACATCTTTTCTTAGTACTGGTGACCAGAACTGGACCGCGTACTCCAGATGAGGTCGAACCAATGATCTATAAAGTGGCAAAATTATAGACTTGTCCCTGCAATACATCCCCTTTTTAATACAGGACAAGACCCTGCTAGCTTTGTTTACAGCAGCCTGGCACTGCAAACTACCTTTCAGTTTGTGGTCTACAATGACCCCCAAATCCTTCTCCATTTCTGACTTCCCCAGCGGCATACCCATAATTGTATAACCCATTTGTTTATTTTTAATTCCAAAGTGCATTACTTTGCATTTATCGACATTAAACCTCATCTGCCACATTAATGCCCACTCCCCTATTTTATCCAGGTCCTCCTGTAATGTTATAGTGTCTAAGTCCGTGTCTATTACCCTCCCAATTTTGGTGTCATCCGCAAACACGGAAATATCGCTGTTAACACCCTCCCCGATGTCATTAATAAATAAGTTGAACAATATGGGACCCAGCACAGAACCCTGAGGCACACCGCTCATTACATGCTCATGCTCATGCTTTTTTATTTTTATTTAATACCCTTTTATAGCATCCTTCCCTCCAAGGCGAGAATGGCGTGCTGGCTGCAGACTCCTGGCAAATGAATGTCAAATATCAATGGTAGGCAACCTTAGCACGCCAGCTGTTGTGAAACAACAAGGCCCATGAGGCATTACAAGACTGACAGCCACAGACATGACTCCCAGAGGCAGAAGGATGATGGGATTTGTACTTTCACCACAGCTGGAGTGCCGAGGTTGCCTATTCCTGCCGTATATCCATACATCCCAACTTTCTGAGATAGGAAAATGTGACACCTTTTACTCTCCTCATGATTTCTTTCTTGATAGTAAATTCTGTAAAATGACATTACTTATGTAGCGCTCACCCCCAAAGGAACCACCAGAAAAGCCCAGGTATTTTTATCCCCAAGCCAAAAGGAACCGCCCAAAACAGGATCCACAGCACACCAACACACCTTGGAGAGTTTTATAAGCAGCTTTACTGAGTAAATATATATCGATTCTGTCAGGCACTGCATATAGAGACACAGTAATTGAAAGAACAACAGTCACCAGTTTACAGTGAGTATTCAGACACTGATCAACCGCAGCTATCTATATGCTGAGGTGTACAGCACTGAACTATCTCAGAACTGCAGTATCTTTGACTTGGAGCACTTGGTTATTAATACACAAGTCCCAATTCATCTGAAACTCTCTATACTACTGGCCAGTAGCAATAAGCTAGGCTAGCCATTGTTGAGGCCCATGATGTGTTGAAGATGTAAATTGCAGAAACAACACAAATTGGCCAAAGGCCTCTCGCCATTTCCCAGTCAGTCTTGCAGAGATGATGTCCGTCAGTGAGAGACAGATGACCCCTTGCCCTCAAGGCAACACTTTTGCTGCTCCTGAGGTCATCTGCTTTCTCCTTGAAGGCGATCTCTGGTCACAGGAAGATGCTGGTGAACTTTATCTGTAAATGTTTGTGGACCTCTCACAGACTGTTAGGCCCTCTTGGATCTCTCTCTCTCTCTCTCTCTCTCTCTCCCTGCACCGGCTCGGCTGCTTGTCCAGGCTGCGATATCCCAACTGTATCATCAGTGATGCTGCATCCCGCTGGAGCAATCATTCAAACGGCCCTGAGTGCAACAGACCAGGATGGAGCCCCTCTTTTTCTGAAGGGTCTTTAGCCGCTCTCCTTTTCAGAGCAGACAGAGTCTGTGGGCCCTCTGCGTCAGCCGCACAGGTCTCTCTCCTTCCCTCAGTTCTCCCGAACTGCCAGCTCAGCAGCCCCAGCCCAGACTCACTGCTTCTCCCTAGACACACAGCCTCCTGGGAATTGCAGTCTGCACACCCTCTCACAGCACGGCTTGTCTCAGTCTTTGCACTGCAATTCCCACAAGTCTCTGCATCACAGGCCAATTAACTATTTACAATCAGAATATTAGTTATCCACGTAGCAACATATGTATTTAGGGGCTACATTTAAAATGTCTCTAGGACTCTCCTGTGGAGCTGCTTTTGACTTCATTACATGGGCTCTTTGTATGGGCTATCCTCTAATATGTCTAAAATTGAAGTGAGTAGTTTCTGTATTGGAGGTATAATTTCTACCTCAGAAATAAACTCAGGCAATCCCCTAATTCTTAAATTATTCTTTCCTCTATTTTCAAAGCCCCCCATTTGAAGTTTAAGATAGTTTATTTATTTTTGCTTTGAGACAAAAAAATGTTTTAAATACAAAGTATGCACAATCAAGTCTGTTTTACTTTTCTAATATTGCACATTTCTCGTAATTAGCCAATGCCATTATATCTGTTTAATGGTGTCAATTCATTCTCTTTAAGAAGTTCAAATTTACATGGTTTACTGACAGCTTGTTCAGGTCTGCTAATAGTGCTTCTTACCAATCTTTCAGAATCACTGTCACAGTTAAGCTAGCCATACGCTGCTTCAGCCGAGTTCTGCTGAGTTAGCAATGCAACGCCATTCTACAAATGCTGATTTTTTTTATTGACTTTCATCAAAGGAGCTGGGTTGAAAATCCAGAGTGAGAATTTGGCGGAAACAGCATGAAA